TGAAAATCAGAAACAGTAAAATGCTCCGGCACTAGGGAATGGTTGAGTAACTAATGTGCTATGTCCCTTTAACAAGTTATTAGTAAGTGCTGGCCATGGTTAGGGTTTTGTTGGCCACATAGAAGAACACCCATTGTATAAAGTTAAAGCAAAAAAAAGTAAAATTCACATGGGTCGGCTTTGTCCTATGTTGTCCTATGTTCATACACCATAGAAGAGATGGTGAAAGATAAAAACTTGGAACTTGGACATGGAAGAGATCTTGAAAGATAAAAATCTTTCCATTGGGTGGGTAAAATTTGTGGCTGAATCTTTTTCTTATTTCTGTTAAATGTGATTACAGTACTTGTGCAAAACAGTAATAGTAATCCCAAGAATCACCTTTTAGAAAGAACTGGAAATGCTCTCTCCCAGTATCTGAGTGTTAGAGCGATAATAGCATTAGCTGTGTTTCCTGACCCTAGAGCTTCACTGAGGTGTGGCTGGCCTTCACCACATGTGCTTCCGATGGGGTCCCCAGACTCAGAAGCACCAGACTTTAGCTGTTATACACACGAGGCCAAACCCACACCTGACCTCTCAGAGGCCCACGGTGAGACCCAACCCTCAGCCCTTAGGCAACCATCCTGCAACGTTCATGCCAGCTTCTGGGTTTAGGAATAAATAGCCCTTCCCCTTCTTCAAAGCGATGGGGCTGAGCTGCAGTCATAATGGGAACGTACAACAGAGATCACACACTGGCAGCCCACGGCCCGGATGTGGCCTGTAGGCATGTTTTGTTTGGCTCACACAGTGTTTTAAAAGTTGGAACATTTCACATGAAAAAAAACAAACAAACAGAACAGATTTCCAGCATCTCATGAGAGGTTGGAAGCTGTGACAACACCAGGCCCACATTCCAGGCCAGCAACCATCCACCGCAGGAGACCAGCGTGGGCGCCTCACTAAGGAGGGGTTCCGATTCATTCACGCATCTCCGGATTCACATGGGCACCCACTCTGAGCCATTCTGGCCTTGTTGCTGGGAAATCCACAGGAAAGAGACAGACCCGGTCTCTGCAGTGCTTACGTTCTCCCAGGGAGAGATCATGTGCACGGAAGTGGCTATTTCCATGCTATGAGACAATCAAACAGGAGGACAGCTGGAGGGGGACTGCAAAAATGAGGTGCTGTGCTGGCAGGGTGCCCTGGGAAACCTCTCTGAGATGACATCTGAGTTGATTCCCGAATGACTAGACAGAGTGATGGAGCAGGCCATGCAAAGATGTGGGGTGAGAATAGTCCAGGCCAAAGGAAGGGACTGTGCAAAGGCCCTGGGGTATGGGTGAGTGTGGAGTAATCCAGAGGTAGTGAGGGAAGGAGAGAGAGAAGCAAGACCACAGCTGGGAGACTGGGTTTATTCTAACTACAATGGGCAAAGTGGAGAACTTCAAGCAGGGGGCGATGTGATCTGACTTAAATAAAATCTCACTGGCAGCTAAGTGAAGAAGGACCCAAGGAAGGGGAGGGAACTAGGGAGACGGGAGGCTGGAGACCAGTCAGGTGGCAACTCGGATGGTCCAGGTGAGAGATGCCCAGAGTGGGCTAGGAGCAAAGTGGCTTGATTTGAGATACACAGTTGGGGGAGAGCCCACTGGACTTGCCGAGCAAGTGGATGGGTAGCTGGTAAGTGACAGGGGGTCAAAAAAGTGTGCTTGTAAGGCGGATGATATTAAAATGTGGTTATATAGGAGGGATCATTTGATGATTTGGGGGGACCAACATGTCAAGTGCAGTTTAAAACCTTCATGCACAGTTTACCTGGGCCAAAGAGTGAACAATTTCTTAGCAGTTAGTTAGACAGAGAAAATGTATCAGCAGGGGCAGCCAATGGTCTGTATTCACGCAGGCACACATGGTCTGGCCTTCAGCGCTAACCTGAAACGTGAGACTGGAGTCGAGGCTTCCATGTGAAAATGGGAGGTGAGATAAACTGGGCACCCTCAAGACGATGAGATGAACTGGGCACTCTCAAGGGCCCTTTCATTTTGTTTGTTTGTTTGTTTGTTTGTTTGTTTATGGTTAGGGACAGGGTTAGGATTAGGGTTAGTGGCATGGTCAGGGTTAGATTTAGGGTTAAGGACAGGGTTAGGGTTAGGAACAGGGTTAGGGTTAGGGACATTGTTAAGAGTTAGGGAGATGGTTAGGGTTAGGTTTATTGACAGGGTTAGGGTTAGGGGTAGGTTAGGGTTAGATATACGGTTAGGGTTAAGGACAGCGGCCCTTTCATTTTTGCTTTGAGCCTCTACCCACTGTGCTCTCTGGACCCTGGCCCAAAGATCCTGGCATTTGGCAGTGGTTCACGAATTCGATGAAGAGCTCGATCCTTAACCTCACAAGTACTCAAGGGGCAACGGACAGAAGCGCTTGACTGAAGGGTGGGAAGGAAGGAGGAGAAGAACAGCAAGTTGCTTTTGCCGCGAGACTCGCCAGGACTTAAGCTTTCAAAACTGAACAGCTAAGCAAGGGGCACAGCCTTCCACTCACTGACCTTTCCCGTGTCAACAAGGGTTATTCACGGCATTAGAGCAACTGTCTGACCTGAGGATTCCTCGAACTCTCTATGGAAACCTGTTCCTTGGCCACGGTGTCTGCTAACATTGTCTCTGGCTGATTACTTTTCCCTGTAAACCTAACACCCACCCACTTTCCCCGGGACGGAAGGCAGCAGTCTACTGAATGTAAAGCATCCAGCCTACCGATGGACCTACTTGGCTGACCAAATCCATCTGCTCAAAAGAGCAGCTAAAATCCACACTACTTATTGCTGCCTCCCAAAACACATGCGGCTAAGCTAGACTCAGTAAGCCTGTGAAATGGGGTGCCTCGTCCCAATATTAAGAAGTGGAGTCCATTTTTGCAGAAAGAGGTCAGATCACCAAGGGTGCCTTATGGAGCTGAGGAGGCCAGGTAAGATGGGGAGCCCTGCGGCATGTTCAGAATGGCCATGAGCAGATGTGCCTTTAGAAGGCTGCCTCCGGCCACCCTGGGGAGAAACGCAAGCCTGGGAGTAGGGAGACTCCTGCAGTGACCAGGCAATGGTCCCTTGACCTAACGCAGTAGTAGGAACAAGGGAGGAGGGGTAGAGATGTTCTGAACACACGCAGATGTTATATGACAGGGGAATGGAGTTTCAGAGCTCACAGGTCACTCGCTGGGGCACGGGGCAGAGGGTGGTGCCATTAATAGTTAAGAAGGAACCACCAGTACAAGGCGTCTCTGCCCTACTTGGCAGCTGAGCTTATTAAGATGGGAGCCCTGTCCCCCAGATCTAATGAAGAGCAGCTGGATGTCCACGTTGGCCTGCCTTTGTGTGTGGTCTGCCAGGGCTGCCTTTCAAAAGACCCTCCGCCATCCCGACAGCAGGGCCAGCCTTCCCAGGGCGCTGGGCGGGGGGCCTGGGTGGCACATGTGTCATGTGAGCTGCTTTTTTGTTCCCTCTTGAGTCTTGCCTGAGAGCCTGCTTGTGTGGTGAGGTCACTTTATACTCCTCTTTTTTTCAGATCCAAGATATTACTTATGCATGAATTTTTCATTTTAAAATTAATGTTTAATTTCATAAGGGATCCATGAATACATTGTAGCAATTTAATACATTAAGGAGCTCCTTTTAGAGTTTGATGAGTTAAGTGTAACTCCTTGGGCTGCTTCACAGAAGGGCCTATTCCCTCTGGTAAGACAGAGGGTAGGGATCAGTCTGTTTCACCACCACCAGGATCGGTGTGGGTGATGGTTAATTTTATGTGTCAATTTAGTGAGGCTATAGTTCCCAACTGTTTGGTCAAACACCAGTTTAGATGTTGTTATGAAGGTATTTTTAAGATACGACTAACATTTAAGTCAGTGGCCTCTGAGTAAAGCAGATTACCCTCCATTGTGTGGGTGGGTCTTGAACAATCAGTTTATGCCCTTGAGAGCAAAGACAGAGGTTTTTCCAAAAAAATGAATTTTTCCCAGGGCTGCAAATAGCAATTCTGCCTGCAGTGTCCAGCCTGCTGTCCTGTGGGATTCCAACTCAAAATGGAATATCAACTCTTACCTGAGTTTTCAGATTGCCAGGCTGCCCTGCAGATTTCAGACTTGCTAGCCACCACTATCATGTGAGCCACCTCCTTAGGATCAACTCTTTCCATATATATGTATATATATACACACACACACACACACACACACACACACACACACACGGTTGTCGGAAAAGTCATGACGCATTTTTGCCACGAAAAACAGAAAAAATACGTCATGACTTCTCTGACAACCTAATATATATGTATGTGTATATGTATACACACACACACACATTTCTGTTTCTCTGGAGACCCCTGACTCATAATAATAATGGAGGCTGATTTACTTTGATGGATGGAGCTTTCAGGCCCCGTATCTTGGCCATCATCTCTTAGCGCCAAACTGCGGATTTCTAAGCAGGATGACTCACTGAGTTCTTCTTGACACTGACTACAGCCCCAGGGCCTCATCCTGGTTCTTCTCTCTACCTGGACACCTTCCCCAGGTATCTGCAGGCTCTCCTCCTTCAAGTCTCTGCTCCACATGTCCATCAGCTCATAAAACTGTGTCTCTCTGCAGCACCCCCCCGTTTCCCCGTCTCCCTCCCCACATGAGCTGCTCCCCTTAGCACTTATCGGCATCTGACCTGTTCCATACTAGCTCATTTATTATCTGTATTTTCATTGCCTCCCCATCCACTGTTGAAAGGTCAGCTCCACGTGGACTCTGGGTTGGTCACTGAACACAACCCCATGCCTAGAACAGGGCTGTGCATACAGCAGGTGCTCAATCACTACTTGGTGTGGAATGACTGAACAATGGGCAGAAGCAGGACCAACATGGCGGGTGGTTCCTCCATGCCTTCGACTTTCTCTCTAATCCCCTTCCCGGAGGAGCCAGGGCCCTAATGCACTCGGACAGCACGGTGATGATGGCCACATGAAGACACGTACCGAATTGGGGCAGCCGCTCTGCTTCCGAGGCGCAGACGTCCCTCTCTTGGGTCCTCCTGCCGTACGCTGCGGAGTAGATGTTGAGAAACTTGGACTCATGGCAGTGCAGTTTCAGCTCTTGGCCCTCGCACACGGTTTTGTTTTTCAATTCATCTGAAGCAGAAACAAAAATCGGCAGCACCATCAGCAATCCCTCAGAAGGAATCGGTGAGTGCGCCCCAAATCTGGTGCAGCCTGATCCCAGGTCCCTGGCACAGCTCAGCCCAAAGTTTCAAAATTGTCATTTGAGGCCCATGAATGGGTCATGAAATTAATGTAGTGAGTTGTGACCAGCAATTTTAAAAAATAAAGAATAATTTAGAAAACATCACAGTGCCTCACACAACGTAAGGAGGTAAGGATAAACACCATTTTATAATTTAAAAGATTTTTTTTCAGTTGTGTGTGTATTATGTGGGGCCAAAATGTAAAATGTCTTCCTTTCCCTGGACTTGCAATGAAACCAATTTAAAAGCCCCACCTGAAGCGTCACAGGGAGGCGTGAGCAGCCAACATTAGTGACGAGTGGCCAGTGGGTCCTCTGTATCCTGGAATTACTGAAGCTTAAAGCCCCAAACTTAAAACATGACAGAAAATAATTTCCAAATAAAAACGGCACCTTCCTGTACCGTGTAAATTCCCATGCCTCCTCCCCCAAACAGAGAAGTCGCAGTGAGGCCAACCTTTGGGGCTGCACAAAGGAAAACGTTTTAGGATCTCCAGATTACCATCAGCTCTGGCGCTGGTAGACCTTGGCACTGTTCTTTAATAGACGATGGTGGGGACACTCGAGATTAATGAAAGGTGCAGAGCAGAAACCAGGTTACAAATGCTCGCAAAACCCCCACCCCTCTGGTATTGGAACATACACGAGGAACCAGCGGAAGAGGGAAAAGGTAGGCGGTGACTAAGCAAGCCAAGGTGTAGCATGCCCTTTACCCACTAACTGGAATCTTAATGTGACAGTTTCAACTCAGAGCCAAGAAAAGTTTTTGCTTTCTTTTTCTAAATGAAAAGAACACTGAGTCTGACCCTGACATCGCAGGGTTGATTTGGGTGAGTCATATCCTCACTGGTATGAGTTAGTTCTCTGGGTTTTTTTTTATTATTTTGGTTTTTTTTTAATGAGTAAACGCTACATCCCACCAACACCGAAATATTGCCTGACTTCAAAGGCTGGGAGGGAACGATGGCCTTTGACGCAGCACAGAGGGCATGGGTAGACACACCAAAAGCGCTCCAGCGCCCTCCCAACTAGGAGAATACCGAAAAATGCTAAGAATGCCTCCCAGGGGCAGAGCGCGCCAAAAAGGAGAGCAGGAGAAAGCAGGACGAAAACCAAGCCTGATCTCAGCAAACAGGGAACAGGGATGGTTTCTTTTTTTCTTAGTCTTCCTTCCTTTCTTGAGATAGAGTATCCAAATTTTTTTTTAATTAAGATCTTTCCTTTATTAAGGCATGTCATGAAATGCATTTATTAGTCACCTTCTTTCTGATGGACTAAAGCCCATTCATTAAAAGTAGCCCTCGATGCCAGCCAACCTCACCCAGGGTAACACAACACCCACAGGCAAGGCCTCCAGTGATCTGTCCCCAGATTACGGGCAAATCATCTCCTGGAATGGAGGGGCTGTGAGTGTCACATTACAGGCTTGGGGTTACTGTTGTGTCATGTTGAGTCACTTGGTTCCTTGGGAATGTGCTAATTCACAGTCACCTAAGAGTGACATTTCTGGGTTCTGAAAACAATAAGACTACTAACATAACTGCTACTTTTCTTAGCATTTGTTATAGGGCTGGATTAGAGTGCTCAATGGCCTCAGATGGGAAAAGGTGTGGGCAGCTTTCCAGAAGTGAGTTTCCAGCACCCCCGTGGGTTTAGATGGGGAGAGTGACAGAAGCCTGGGCGAAGACTCTGCTTACAGGACAACAGTATCAAGTTCTACACCCTAATTCTCGCAGTTAGGAGGCAATGTGCGTGATTCATTCTTCTTTAATAACGCTTTCACACATTTGCATAGCAGCAGTGGTCTTTCGAAGATGGGCAGGGGAGAGCGATCTGCCATGATAAGAAGATGTTATTACCGGCATTATTTACAATTGCCAGTGCATGGTGTTCTTAACATGTAGACAGATTTTGAATCGCTTTTATTGTGTTTTTAAATTCTCTAAAGACACTGCACCCCACTATTGCCTGCGCCCAGGGCAGACTATACCCCACTCCTCCAACCATCACTGCCTTTCAGTCATTCAGATCTTTAGCAAGAATTCCTTTAACCTGCATGTTGGAATAATAGCTACCAATTACTGAGCCCAACTTCATGACAGGTCCTATGCTAAGCATTATACACACAGCACTGTATTTTTACAATCTTCACAGCATGACTACCCTAATGAAGAAGGCGCATTATCTTCATTTTGCACTTGAGTTTGGAGCCTCAGAAAGTTTCTGTTCGCTACCCAAGGTCACCCAGCAGCTACACAGCAGACAGGAATATGAACCCAGAGCTGCCTAAATCCAAAAGCTCACTGAGAGCAAAATTCTCTGGAGGGATGAGATTTAGGGAGGAGGTGAAGCATGGTGCACCCTCGGGGAAAAGAAGGTTCTTCTGAGGACTGCTGATAAAACAGGTCTCCAAAAAACAAACCTACAAACAAGCCCTGACTTGTAGCATCTGCCAATTTCCCTGGTGTAACTACTCTCCACATGGCGGATTTCAAAGCACACAGGCAGACCTGGGAAGAAACGCAGATAACAAGAGCTGCGTCCACACGCCCCTGAGTGCAGCCATGGAGCCTGTGGACAATCAAAGTGTCAGGCAGGTGCTGGAACTGGGACAAGAGGCAGAGCCTCACTCGGGAGGTGAGAGGGCTGCAGAAAAAGAGGCAGGGGAGTGTGGGGGAAAGCTTGCTTCCAGCCCCATTGCATAGCAGCAATAGAAGCTGTCACCCAAACTGCAGTGCCTCAGGTCACCAGTGTCCGGGTTACACAAGGTATGTTTGTGTCCCCCTAAAGTCGTATGTTGAAATCTTAATGCCCAAAGTGATATTAGGAGGTAGCGCCTTTGGGAGACACTTAGGTCATGAAGGTGGAGTCCCATGAGTGGAATTAGTGCCCTCATAAAAGAGGTCTGACAAAGCTCCCTTGCCCTTCTACCATGTGTGGTTATAGTGAAAAGATAGTCATCTATGAAGACTGGGCAGACACCAGATCTGCTGGCACCTTGACCTTGAACTTCCAAGGCTCCAGAACTGAGAAAAGTAAATTTCTGTGGATTATAACCCACCTAGTTTATGGTGTTTTGCTATAGCTGTTAGAATGAACTAAGACACAGGCTTTGCCCCCGTAATCAGTTATACACGGGGCAGTTTTACAACCCCGTCTGAGCACCCTCCCTGCTTCAGTGCTGCCTTACAGAGAGAGTTCACCTCCTTCCCTGGCCATCAGGGCCCGGGGTCCTGCTCCAGCAATCTGGCCGGTGCTCCCTCCAGCCACAGGCTTCTGTAAGGAGTGATTTTTCTGTGCTCCAACCCGCACACCTGCAGCTCTCAGCTCATCATCACGTGCTTGTTCAGGGAAAGCCTTCTCTGAACTCCTGTCTGTCCACTCCTCCTCTAAGCTGCTTGTGAAGTACCAAGTCACCATCCATCCCAGAGGCCCTTCATGCATGTATTTGCATGATTCCACAGTGAAACATCAGGCCCCCAACTAGACTGTAAGATCTGGCTACTTAGGATGGGTCACCTGTGTTTCCCCAGCGCCAAGCACAGTACCTGGCCTCTGCTAGGTGAACACAGAGCAACTGCTCTATCAATAAGGACTGAGCATCAACTATGAGGGGTCGTGATGGTGAATGACAGGGGCCCTGCCCTCATGATGCTTACATTCCAGTGTGTGTGTGTGTAGTAATACATATGTCACAAAGAAACAAAGAAACAAGGTAAATCCACATGGTAATGCTGCCCTAAAGAAAATAAAACAGGATGCTGTCGTAGAGAGGGATGGCAGGACACAGGGTGGGGGTGAGGCATGGGGTGTCTTCTTTAGATTTTTTTTTTATCTGAGACAGTCTTTCTGGGGAAAGGTGACATTTGGCCTAGAAACTAAGCGAAGAGAAGTAACTGACTGAAGATCTCAGTAAATTCTTGCTGGATGCAGGAGGGAGTGGCCAGGGGCGTGGCCAGGGGCGTGGTCATTCTTGAGATTCCGCAGTGAGAGGGAGGGATCTGACTACTAAGAACAGGGAGATCTAGAAGTGATTTTTCTGAGTCTGTTGAGTGGGGCAGGGGTTGATGAGAATTCCTGGGTGGAGTGTGTGGGGGGGTGTAGACTGTTCTGCAAAGTTCAGGCCTGCTTGTGAGTGTTTGTGATTGTGTGTACATAGGAATGAGTATGTTGTGAGTATATGTGTCACAGAGTGTGCATGTATAATTAGGATGTATGGGTGTGATAGTATGTATATGTGACTGTCTATGTGTGCGCGCTGTGTGAGATAGTGTGATGTGTGTGCAAATGAGTGTATGTGTGGGTGTATGTGTGAGTGAGTGTGAATGTGTATTTGAATGCACGGTAAGATACCATGTCACACCGACCTGAAACCGTGGGCTCAGGAGGCACCTGTGCCACTGGCCCTCTGGGAAGAACCAGCTGCCTCTCAGCTGGGGGTGGGTTTCATAAGAAGACGTCCCGACAAGGAGAACTGATTCCTCATTTTGATGAAAAGCAATTGCAGTTTTTTGCTATCCCAATATCTTTAGCATTAGTATAACTGAGTTTTTCATGTTAGGAAGGATTTTTAAAATTCAGGCATTTGTAAGAATGCACAAGGATACCTATGTGTGTGAACATACACACACACACACACACACACACATTCACACAGACTCAAATACACATAAACTAAAACACCAGGTAGGATGGGGCCCCGACACTCCTATGAACAAGTGTTTCAAAGATGGACGAACACCGACTGGCAGAGAGTTTTTGTCAGGGGTGTGAATGAAATAGGGAACCCACACCCCAAACACACTGATCCCCCTCAGCAGTTACTTACTAGGTTGGCATTTAAAGGAGACCAGGAGGTATTTACTGCTTCCTGGACAAAGGTCAGGTCCAAATACACGGCTATTGACCAGGAGGTGGCAGGCCCGCTGGTTCTGGCATTCGTCCAGCACCTTCTAAAATGAGGGGGTAGAAAAGGGACAGGCTTGTAAACCACACTCAGTGTCTGCGAGACCCCACACCTGGGCTGCTCTGGGCTTTGAGAAGGAGGGGCACCTGTCTACCTGGCCTGGGGCTCCCACAGAAAACCTTCCTGCTGCTGTGAGCTAGGCCTGAGAGGAATGCACACGTGCGTGGGTGATCAAGTTGGCTCCCTGTCTCCCTGTCTTTTCCAGAAAAGAAAAACCTGATCCAGCAGCGCCAGGCCCCCATCAGAAAACCCACTTCCAATTCATCTCAACTGGAAACACTGCTGATAGTTTTGACAAACGTGCTGCACTTTTGGGGCTTGGAGGTCCCCTTCTGGAAGGGGTCCCCTGGCTTTAAAGCTGAGAGAGCTCTATGGGGACCAGGAATCATAGGCATAGCCCTTCATTCTTCGAAACAGCCCCGCGCAGGCCACAGGAGATCTCAGCATTTGCGGAGGCCTTGGAGACCCAGACCCAAACACAGGCCAACAAATAAAAACGAAAAAGCTGATTCCCACCGTTGCCAGCTCAAGAACATGGGATCCACTTCTCCCTCGTGGAGCAATTTTTTTAGTTTAATACGCCGGCTCTCTGTTGAATACTTGGCTTAAAGGATTTTCTTCAAATCTCTCTCTTTTTCCTGATTTTTTCCAAACAACTCACTCTTTTGTGAATGATTCTGTCCCATGGACGCTCATGGAGACCCTACACCGGTCACAGAAAGGCTCAGCATCTCACTGCTGATCTTCTAGTTCCCAATTCCCAAATGGAACCAGTCTGGCCCATGACAAACAGAGGTCTGAAGGACACCAAGGACAATGAAAGTGTTCCCAAGAACCCACTTATTACTGTTGGACTGAATGTAGCACAGATTCACAAATACATCTGAGTGGCCATGTTCTCATAGTAGCTCAAAGAATATCTCTGTGAAGGATGCTGGCCCTACCAGGTCTCACGCACCACCTCAGGGGCCCAGCATAAAATCAGGAAAAATGCCCAAGAAGACTCCAAGGACCCCCAAATGACAGTGCACATTGTCATGGCCGAGGGTCATCGTGAAGTGACTCAGTCCTCAGAGGGCTCTATGCATGACAACTACAGAGTGGGACTCAGGCTGACCTATTTCTAAATTGTGTTATAGCTGAAAAATGCAGAGAGAGGACTTCCTGTTGACGTTTAGTCATGGGCTGGATCAATTGAGGTGCTCCTGTGTGGACGTCAACCTGTTCTTATGTCAGCCTGTTCTCTCCATACCTGAAGCAACCTTCACCTGAGGGACACCCTGCCTCAGCTCCCAAATGCAGTTCCAAAGACACGAAGTGTCTCTGGATGAAAGAGCAATGCACGGGGATGTTTCTGGCAAACAAACCCTCCAAACATCAGAACTGTGTTCACGAGCGCTCACTTGGCCTGGTGATGGGAGCATCGCCTTCCCTCAGGGCTGCCTGGCAGAGGTCGGTACCATGTGGGAGGGTGAGCGGGTGGTGGCCACGCTCTGGAGCTCCAGGGTGCCAGGAGTTCATACTTTGACAGAGTTGGCACTGTCACCCTGTTGGCGTTGGCCAATGTTCTTGTTATGTACATAAGTGGGCAGCAGATAGCCAGAGCACCAGGGTGGGTGGGCAGGCAGTTGGGTGAGGAACGGGGCAAGGCAAGAGGGGTATGGCTCCTAGAGTGGCACCCAAGGGGAAGGAAAGGGAATAGGGTAGGCACACGTGGGAAGGAACTGGAGCACGCTGTTTCTCCTCAGGGTGTGGAAGCCATGTCCAGGGCGTTCATTCAAACATGTTATTTTGGCTCCTCAGTTGGCATCTTTCCCAATCACATCACTAGCCAGAGACTATGATGCTTGGAATGGAAGCAGTGAACAGTGAGAGAAATAGAGAAATCCTTACGTTATCATACTATTTTTGCTTCTCCTCGTTGGGCCTTCGGGAGAGCTACCCAGCATTAAAGCTTGTTCCGTTTCTCCTGAGTCCTCCTAGGAAATTTATCTTTACCCAGCTTTCCTACAACTGACAAAGTCAAACTGACATCTAATATGCCACCTGCTCTAACCACCTTGACTTCAACGGATTCCTATGGGACTTTGGAGGCATTAAAAAAATCCAAGGCCAAGGGACTCCACGATGCTGGCCAACTAGTTAAAAATGTTGAGGGGACAGGGACAATGGAGCAGAGCGTGCTTATACAGCGGAAAGCCGTGAGTTGTCTAAAATCATGTCTGAATTTTTCGTTTAGACCTCTTCCTCTACCAAATAGTTCCCTAATGCCAACCACAAAAAGAATGGCTCAGCCCACCCCACCTGCCGCCCCCAAATCCCTGGTACTATCCATAGAAGGACAAGTCCACAGAGGCCGCCCAAAGTAGCTGCAAACCAAAACAACATGACAATCTACAGCCGGAGAAGCAAAACCACAAAAACCAAAAGACAACTATCAATATTTCCCTTACTTGAGTGCATTGTCAAAGACGGTGATCGTGACCTCAGATGTCTGCCTCCCAGAGGTCATTGTGGAGTCCACTAAAAATTCCACAGCCTTCCCTCTCTAGTGGGGCCTTGATGGGAGCCATGGGCCTGGAGGTTGAAGCCTAGTGTGATTGTACTTGGCTCTACTGCAGCAAGGAGCCTGCCTGTGAATGCATTCATACTGCAGGTGCGGTAAGGGGGCTCTCCAACATGTAGGAACTCTGTTTAGACTTTTAGAACTCTGTTTAGAATCTTTCTGAAAAGCAAATAATAGCTAAACCTGCAACACTGGTGATTTGTATAAATTGGGATTTTCACAGATTGGGTTGGCTGTGAGTGAATTATCTAATCACAAGTATACTGGGGTGCCCCAAAAATGTATACACATTTTAAGAAAGGAAAAACCTGTATTAAAATTGTAATACTCAATATATCCCGATAACGAAAGATGAATACAAGTTACGTTTGACTTCTGCAATTACAAGAGGTGCTCAAAGTGGTTACCATCAGCGTCCAGACACTTCTGATTATGGCGAACTACAGCTTGAGCAACGTTGACTGAAGTGTCTACTTGTGTACCTTTTTTTGGCACCTGTGGTATATTGAGTATTACAATTTTAATACATTTTTCCTTTCTTAAAATATGTATACTTTTTTTTGGCACCCTGAGAGAGAGAGAGAGAGAGAGAGAGAGAGAGAGAGAGAGAGAGAGAAAGAGAGAGGGAGAGAGAGAGGGAGAGAGAGGACCATTTTATCATCTAAAGACATCTACGAAAGGCAATACCTGCAATGTGGTGGACGCCACACAGGTTAAGCTGTCTTCCCTCTGGGAGGCGGGCTGCTGGGTACTACATGCTCGGTAACCTTGCCCATAAAACGCCGATTGGACACTTATCGTAGAATGCCGAGGGCACTGTAGATTCAAATGGTCCCCATCACAGGCATAGGCGGTGTGGTTTTGCAGGAGTTTGGTTAGGTAACCTGGAAAATATTCAGCTGGGTTACAAGAGGCCCAGGAACTCACCGCTCCACGGGTTTCCAAGCAGGAGAACCTCGGCTCCCCCAGGAAGGGGCTGGTCAGTCAGCAAGCTATGGGGCAGAGCTTCCTCAGCAGCTCTGTTGGAGAGGACCCCAAACTAGTCTCGGAGTTGGGGCTGAAGGAGCAGATGGCAGTCTGCCTGTCTGGGCGGGACCCCTTGGTCTGGGATGGCCTGTTGGATGGCTTGGAGGGCTCTTTCCCTCCAGGAGGCACTGAGGGATTGGTCAGGAGCCAAGACATCCTGAGGTATCTCTGTAAAGCAGGAACCATTCTGAGTGGGTGTCCCTTGGGCATGTAGATTCCTATCCTGGGCACACTTGGGTTCTCTGATCTCCCACTGGCTGGGCCAGGCCTTCCTGGAGTGAGGGGGCACAGTTTTATTTTAGAGAGCCACTCCTGGGTCTGCCTCAGCCCTGGAGAGGAAGGCAGACAGGGCACCCCGCACAGGGAGAGGGCCTGCTCTGAGGGGAGGGCGAAGGGGCAAGGTGGGGCTCTGTCATGGGTCAAATAGTGTCCCCCCCAAATTCATGTTCACCGGCGACCTCTGAATGTGACCATATTTGGAAATAGGGCCGTTGCCGACGTCATTTGTTAAGATGAGGCCACCCTGGAGTATGTGACGACTGTTCTTATAAGAAGAGAAGAGACACAGAGGAAAGACAGCCATGTGAAGACTGGAGCGATGCAGCTACAGGCCTAGAAACACCGAGGAGCACTGCCAGCCACGAGAAGCTGGAAGAGGCAAGAAAAGGTTCTTCCCTGGAAGCTTCAAGACAGCACCGCGCTGCTGACAGCCTGAGTCTGACAGCTTCAGACTTGAAGCCTCTGGTACTATGAGAGGATGAGTTTGTTGTTTTCAGCCACCCAAGTTTGTGGTCATTTGTTACAGCAGCTCCAACAAACTCATACAGGCTCCAACCCCAGGCTCCCAGGTGACTTCTCAGGCTGTGCTCTGAGAAGCTAGGCAGATGGCCTGGCAGGCGTGGGCAGCCTGGACTGCTTCTCAGAAAGGAGGAAGGATGGTTTCTCTGAAACATGGATTCCTTTCTTCCTCCTCGCACCTCAGAAGGTCAATCACAAGGCATCTGGGAGAGGAGCCAGGGACTTTTTGGTGAGGTGTGTGGGAGATGAGTTTGGCAGGCCTCAGCCTTTGAGGAGGAGGAGGGGGTGGAAAGGGAGTCCATTTCAGAACAGACGGGCCATGCTGAAATGATTCCTGTTGAGGTTTCAAAAGCTTAGAGCCATAATTCTCAGCAATGGCACCCAATCCAGCTGCCTGGGCTTCCCTGAAAGCCACCGTGAAACGGCCTGCTGTAGGGTAGTCACACTTGCCAAGCCATCATGTTCTGAAGATGAAAACTGGGAGTGCTCACTGGCACCCTTAACCCAGCTCCTCGCACTCTCATTGTAGCTCCGATCACCCACTTAAAGACCATCCTAAGAATGGCCAAGAAATCAGCTCTCCTGAGTTAAGTTCACATGGAGAAGTGAAGTCTAGCTTAAGCAGCCAAACTGACATCAGGCAGCAGGCATGCGAGTCAGGGTCCTGCTTGTTGGAACAACGTCATCGCTCTCACTGAGTCCCCTGCCAGGCACCAGAAGAGGCCAGGCAGAGACCCCCTCGGTGGTCCGAGGGCTGTGGGTCAAGGTCTGCCTGTGGAACACAGGTGGATCCTAAGAAAGCCATGAGTTGTGAAAGTTTCAGCATCCTTTGTGGGACCTCGGCATCCAGTTATGGCCATACCAGGGGACTTAGAGTCACCCTGATACTGCCCCCAGGCCAGCACCCACTTCGAAGCTCCCCAGGATGGTACTCCCATACTCGGTCTCTTCAAACTCTCAATAAAACATTCCTGTCCATCACCCCATCATTCACCAGGACCATGCTGGATGACCAGCTGACGAAAATATTAATTCTGGGAGCATGGCTTTGGTTTCATGTGTTTGGTTTGTCCAAAAGGCCGTGTGTTACTCTAGCGAGACAGGTATCACGATGAGGTCCCTGGGGTGGTGGAACCTCGAGACAGAAGAGGCCTGAGTCCCGGAGTCATGAAGAGAAGAGCTGCCTGCTCCACAGACTGAGAAAGAAACTTCTGCTGGGTTTGGGCCATTACCTTTCTTCTATCCATCTATTTGCCATATAGGCTCTCTCCAGTAAACAGGACTTACTTGACCTCTGTAGGACCATTTACATCAAAACACAACATGAGTACAAGGCAGTGGCCCAAGCCCCCCTGCCCACCATCTTCACATTCTGAGAGTGGTATTCTGGAAGCAGAAGCTCAATGCAAAGAACGGACTAACCTGAGGTCTTTCAGGCCCTTTTGCACACATACGAGGGAGGGGAACCCCCTCCCAGTACAGCAGTCTTAACACTGTGCACATACAAATAAGATTCTTCAGCAGTAAAACTTGCTCTAGACTCGGTCCAAATCCACCCTCAAAAGCTTATGCCTATGTCCAGACAATGGAATACATTCAGCACTAAAATGAAATAAGCTATGAAGCCACAAAAAGACACAAAAGAACATTACATGCATATTGCTGAGTGAAGAAAGCCAATGTGCAAAGACTACGTACTGCCTGACGTTCTGGGAAAGGCAAGACTATGGAGATGGTAAAAGATCAGTGGTTGCCAGAGGTTTGGTGGGAGGGACGGATGAATAGGTGAGCCCAGAAGATGTTTAGGGCAGTGAAACTATTCTGTATGACACTAAATTCTGGATACATGTCACGACACATTTGTCCAAACCCACAGAATGTGCAACACCAAGAGTGAACCCTAATGTGATCTCTGGACTCTGGGTGATGATGACGTGTCAATATAGGCTCATTGATTGTAACAAATGGACCACTCTGGTGAGGGGTGTTGATAGTGGTGGGGGGAGGGGGAGGCAAGGAGTATATGGAAATCTCTGAACTTGCTACAAACCTAAAACTGCTCGAAAACAGAAAGTCTATTTAAAAAGAAAAAAAATGAAAAACCACCTGTGCCTCCCAGAGATTGCATTACCTTTGGAAGGCAAAGGGTTAGTGATAGGGGAGGGACATGAGGGGGCGTTCAGGCGAACTGGAAAAACTCTGTTTCTTGGAGGCTGCATACATGTTTTACTTTGTGAAAGTTCATCCATACTAAAGATCTGTGCATTTTTTTTTGTAGGTAGGCAAATAAAAATGTTTGTTTAAAAAACCTTTACCAGCAGGTATCTGACCAATACATTTAAACTGATAAAGACGGGCACTGGGGAGCCTATGGATGATTTATAGGACAAGGGGGGTTGTAGAAGACTTTCTTCTGACTGGCCACACCCACACTAGACACCCCTCTAGAGTGACAGCAGGACATGCTCATGGGAACGGGCCATCAGCCATCACACCTTATGGCCCTCCACAGGTGCATTCCCATACCTCATTCTGATTGGTCTGTGCCAGAAGATGCTAAGAGGTCAGGAAGAAGGACACCTAGAACTATGCGTTGCTTTCAGGACATCAAGGGCCATTTTGAGAGGCATTTGGGATGGGAGATGGAGACAGAAACCTGTTTGGAAAAGGTTGAAAAGTGAGTGGAAGTCAAGGAAATCAAAGATGGGTCATGTGGTAGAACCATGGCCCCCCAAAGATGTCCACAGGTCCCAGTCCCCAGAACCTGTGAATATGTTACCTCATGTTGTAAAAGGGACTTTGCAGTTGTGATGAAATTAAGGACCTTGAGATGGGAAGTTGACCCTGAATGATCTGAGAGGGACCAATATAATTACAAGGGTCCTTATAAGAGGGAGGCAAGAAGGTCAACATCAGGAAAAGGAGATGTGGCAATGGGACCAGAGGCTGGAGTGATGGAACGTAGGTGGTTTCTAGAAACTGGAAAAGGCAAGGAAATAGATTTTGCCCTGAAGCCTCCAGAAGGAACACAGTCCTGCCAATACCTTGATTTTAGACCTGTGACCTCCAGAACTGTAAGACAGTGAACCTGTGCTGTTTTAAGACACTAAGTGTATGATCATTTGTTATAGCGGCCATCGGAAACTCACAGTTTACACAGATGACTCTTGCAATTACCTGATGAAGATGAGGAGAGAAATAGGACTATGTTTCTAAGAACGGCTGCCCAGGGAGAGATGTTTTAAATAACTGCAATTGGGTTACAGTTGGAGGAGGTCTATGCATGTATGTATGCACATTCTTTCCAATGTGTTGGGTAGAGGCAACACATTACTTAGTTTCTTAGTCCATTCGGGCCGCTCTAACAAAACACCACATATCGGATGGCTTACAAACAACTGAAATTCTTTTCTCACAGTTCTGGAGGCTGGGAAGTCCAAGATCAAGGCCCTTGCATGGTCAAGTACTGGTTAGGTCTCCTGGCAGAAGGACTTAGGGAATTCTGTGGGGTCTCTTTTACAAGACATTAATGGTATTAGTGAATCTCATTCATGGCGACTCCACCCTAATGACCTAATCACCTCCCACAGGCCCCACCTCCTAATACCATCATCACCTTTGGGGGTTAGGATTTCAACATATGAATTTTAGGGGGCACACAATCATTCTGACCCTAGCACTTAGCCAACCCCCCACTCCTTGTTTTCTCGGCTGGTTCAAATGAGATCCTTTTTAAAGAATGACTACTTCTACTATAGCTTTTTGTTAATGGCTCCCTTTGGATCCAATGTGCCCTCATGTTGGGTCAGTGACAAATGCTTTATTTCTTAATACTCTTGGCCAGAGTTTTCACATTAGCTCTATATTTGTGGTCAAATATTTACTGCCCTGAGAGAAGGCAGAAGTGCACACTGTTAAATCAATCCTCGAGCCTGGAACGGCCTGGACATACTCTGTGGATCCTTGTTAAACTGGGGGAAAGAGGAAAATGGGAGGGTTTAGACTCTATCAGCTTCAAGGCACACGGGCCGTTGTATCTCTTACATTTAACTCCAAGATA